CTGTTTTTGTGGCAGCAAAATAAAATTAGATACTAGCCCCGTCTGATGACGAAAAAACGGAGCTCAGCTCAGACAGGATTGCACGTCAAAACTGAAGGATTTGTTTAAAAAAAACAACAACGACCTGTCAATCGTTTTAAAGTCAACACTCTGACTTGTGCAGAGTCTTAGAGGTTGCTCTCACCTTATTTCATGACTTTTAAAGACAGCAGCCTCTCAGCATCTATCAATAAAAGAAACACAGCTGGAGTTTTCAAACACGTGTCCCCAGTTTGTTCTGAGACAAAAATACACCAGATTTCTTTCCAGTTGTGTTAAAACAAGAAGCCGGTTGAGGTTTCGCCTCCACTGCTGCGAATCTGGATTACAGGTTGGACTCAAGCTGATGGTGAGGATGCAGTCCTGTCAAATGGCTTCATGAAGATTGACAGCTGTCGTTCACTTGTTACAGCAGATTCAAATTTTTTTAAAGTATTCAAACAACCAAACTGTTATTTAATTATGTTAGACAACTAGATACTGCATAGCGGTATCATATATGACCCACGCTTTGTGTGTGGGGTTTCATAAATACATTTTACACAGGTAAAAAACCTCAGAAAAACATTGATTTTGATAACTTCTGTTGCTGCAGGAGGGCTTTGACAAGAGACCACCCCCCGTCTGCCACACTCCCGTTTTCTGCTCCCAGGTGTACCACCGTGTTACACGACCAAACCCACCAGCAGCTCGAGACAACAATCGTTCATGGTTCGGACCTTGCAGCTCTATATTTTTCTTTGAAGACACCATCTCACTGAACAGTGATTATAGTAAATGGTAATCATGACAGAGCCCCCCCAAAGGTCTCCACAATGTCTTCTGATGTTTCTCGTATGAGGTGCAGTGGCGCTCTGTCATGTGAGTTTTTAACATGATCTAAAAATTTGTTCTTAGAATAGTTACAAAGTGACAGTGGGCGTCTTCAGTTTGTTCCTCTGAATTATTGCCACAGGTGTCTCCAAGAGCTTTATCTTCTGACAGAAGACATCAAAAGCAAATGTCTAAGTATAAAAATCACTGATAATGAATTATATATATATATATATATATATATATATATTGGTCCAAGTCATAATGGGGACAGCTACTGTTTCTACTTTTCTTCTGGTCATTTTGATTTGCCTTCACAGTTCTAATTTCACCAGCATCTATTCATTTCACCCCAGATGTTCCTCCTTTTGCTGTTTATCTTGTTCTTTTCCAATAAAAATAAAAAGTAGTAATAATATTCAGCGTGCTTCTCCAAAGCTATGCTCCAAAGACAAGTGGCTGCTTCTCCAACGCTCTGGGGAAAACTAGGAAATTAATCTTCACGCTTATCCTTCTTGCTGAAAGACAGAGAGTGCAAAGGAGAGAAGAAGAGAGGAAAAAAAGGAGGAAGAAGGGTTCAGGAGGTAAAGAAAAGAAACATTCTTCAGCGTTTAATTCAGTGAATTGGATGAACGCAGAGCTCGGTGGGAGGCGGCGGACATGGATGTGCCTGTGAGCCTGTTTGTGCATGCGTGTGGATAAAATACAGCTGCATCATGTCAGAGCAGCTGCAGTTTAATATCAACAAGCCATTCGGAGTTTCACCTCTCCCCTTGTCTCCTCCTCCCTCCTCCTCTTCCTCTTTTCATCTCTCATTGACTGTTTGGCCTGGTTTCAAACGGCTGCAGGCCCCAGTGAAATTAGACTGAGTGCAGTGTAATGAAGAGCCTGCCAGTGAGGGCCATGGCATTAAATGTCACACAAACACGCCCGTGTGCATCCAACACTTGCCGAACGCACATGTACGCAGCTCACAAAAAAAGTGACATGATAGCCGGGCTGGTGGAAGTTTGAGAGGAGGGCAGAAGATTGCTTGTGCACTCACTGTGTTTCCCCAAATGAAACACACTGATTGTACAAGAGAGGTTGTGCTCCTAAATACTCGCTCCATTAAACTGATTGACTGGAAGAATCCAGATGAAAGCTCTGATCCAGTATTGATTTCCCCACTTAAATCCACATCAAATTCAAATCACTAGTTAAATCAAAGTCAAGGTTGATGAAGATAAACAGCCAGAAGCGTGCTCATTATGCCAGTTAAAGCACACAAAACATCTGACATCTGCACGAGAACAAACAAACTCCTGGATTCCGATGTAAAACCGGCACAAAAAAAAAGCTATCTGTGTGATGCACAATAGCTCTTAGAGGAGCAGATAAAAAAAAAAAAAAAAACAGTGAAGAGTAGCTGACACAGAAGGGGGAGGAAGAGGTAATAACATCCAAAGCAGCATGCTGAGAAAAGGGTAGAAAGTGCTCAATGAGGGAGAAATTCAGAAAAAAAAGAGAGGATGAGAAGCAGGTTTAAAGGGAGATAAATGGAGGGGACAGTGAAGCAAGGAGACGGACAAGCAGAAGGAAATCTTTAGGTAGATGGAGACGATTGAAAAGGAAAGTTGAATGGAGAGAAGATGGATGGAGAGCACARAGCCAGGGTGGCTTAAAGGTTAAAAGGAGACGAGTTGGAGTTTGAAAAAGAAAACATGAAAGATGGAGGTGAAGGAGTGCGGATGGATAGACAGAAATAAAATGAAGAGGTACTTTTGATGGATGCAACTGAAACCTGCTGGACAGCTTCCCGGGTGTCCTCAGACCAGCGTGTCTGTAGTAGACTTACATTTACAGGTTTACATCCGAACCTGTACCACACCTGGGATGTGGGTTGCAGACATTTTTGTTACACAACAAAGACCAGAATCTCAAAGGAGAATTCTGAAAATGCTTTGGAGTTCTAACCCTGTTTTTTATACTCTTTTCCTTATTATATGCAACAAAATGGACAAGGTATAAAAACTCTTCAATAAATTATTAGGTTTTTATGTTTTAGTCTCCTACAGTGTTTAATTAGCGAGGCTAATGACAGAGTTTATTTAGTCTAACAATTATTTTTACTGCAAAGTAATTTGCAAAAAAAAAAAATCAAATTTTTATAATTACCGAGTTAAGTATTTCATCTGTGAAATGTTGTGGAATGGTGAAAAATGTGCCGTTTTATGAAGCGGGAGATATGTGACAGTGTTTAATGGCCTAATTTGTATGACCAACAGTCCAAATCAGACATTTAAATTACACGGGAGAGAAATGACGAATTCTCTCAATTTCGAGATGAAGTCAGGTGAATTTAGCCTAGCCGCGGCTATACAATGGCCTTTCCTGCGCTCTCAAAAGTCTCCCCATTATGCACTAAAATATATTAAAACAAGATGTAATATCTTCAGAAAAGCATGAAAAGTTGGATTAGATTTGAAAAAAAAAACTAGGATGAAGCAGAAGCAGAGGATTAGAAACGATACAAAAACATGAAGAATGGAGTAAAATGAGGTAAAATTAGAGGGAGGACAGGTAGGTGGATGGAATGAATACTATTATGTAGGTGTAGCACAAACCAAATGACAGGGTCAACGTAGAAGATGCAAAGAGAAAAAAGTGGGAGGAAAGACAGAAAACATGAGGACAAAGACGGAGAGCACAGCGAGTCGTCTGCCTCTTGTCTAGCTTACTGAGTGAAGACAGCTGATAGAGATTAATGTCTCAAGTGGGTGGGCGGAGGGGAGAAAAAGGTCCAGACTGGCAGTGCGTGAGTTGGATGCATGATTGATGGAGGGAGCAGCACAGGGCAGGAGACGCTGAAAGAGGGCGAGAAAAGGGGGTAGTTAGGGCCGAGAGGAAGAGTTGAGAAGTTCGGCATCACGAGTGTGGTCTACGTGGAGACGGTAGATTGATGAGGGCTAAGATGGAGGGACGGCGAGATGGAGTGAGAGATGCTGAGTGAGTGGGGAGGGTCGGGGATTGATGGCACGAGTGTGGAGAGGTAGAGGGAGCTGGGGGAGAGAGAGAGAGAGAGAGAGAGAGAGAGAGAGAGAGAGAGAGAGAGAGAGAGAGAGATGTAAAGATCAGTGGAAGAGCGCAGCGCTCAAATTAAAATGCTCAAGCTTCTCACCATAAACCCTGAACTTCATTATTTTCTTGTACGGTGAGCTCGCCGCTAAGTGCATGCTGGGATATGCATTTAATCTGCATAGTTTGGAAGCGGCCCTGATGCCACACCCACTTCATCAAAGTCCTTGATTCATGTGTGAGGTGAGCTGAAATGCAAATGGAGCGTGTGTTTGAGTGACACACACCTCCACACACACTATATTACCTTCCTCCAAGATAAGCATTAATGAGCTCCGCCGGCTCCTTCTGCTCACTCCTTCCAGCTCCACATCTCTCCATTTCCACATTCTCTTCATTCTTTTTATCTTCTGGCCTCTCACCTCCATTACTCTTAACTATTACTCCCCCCGTCATCTTTTTTGACCCTCCCTTCCTCCGCCTTTGCTCCCGCCACCTCTTCAGCTACTTCTATCTATCTTTTTGTACTTTTTCACTTTTCTATTCCAAAGTCACTTCTCTTTATTATTATTTGCTACTTAAATACACATTTACTGTTCATTCTTTAATGACAATAAAGACAATTATTTTTCACAGTGACATGGATACTATGAAAAAAAAAACAACTTTTCTGCTGGGTTTGGACATCTCAGCCAAGTGTAAACAGTGTTTTCAACAGCGATGCAGTTTTTATTGTAGTTTTTATGCCTGACTGGCTTCACTTTGTTGCCACTAAACTTTGAGTGCGGCCTGGATTCACACCAGCCCTGTTCAGTCCACTTTAATCAAACTAYAGTTTGTTTGTCYAGGAAGTGTAGTTCACCTGGKAAGGTGTGAACACGTAATTGAACTATGATTTGGACCAAAAAAAAGCAAACTCTAGTCCACCTCCAAACCTAGGTGTCAGTTTGGTTGAAGTGAACTCTGGTGCGGCTTGATTGCATGTGTGAACGCCAAGTGGACCAGTAACTGCTCCGAAAGCAGGAAGCGGACTAAAACGCAGGGCATTCTGGGTAATAATAGTAATAAAGTTACTCATATCTTGTAAATACCTCGCTGCATGTTGATGAAGTTGAACACACTCTCCTAATCGGTGAACGCCGCCTCACATGGAGTCGTCTCAGCCTCCTTGTGTGGAAAATATTGTCCACGATTTCGCCTCATCTTCCTCATGCTGAGCTGATTGTTGAGGACTATTTGACACATTTGCCAAAACCAAAAAATAAATCCTAAAATCACTGACGCTACTCCATGTTTTTTTACATTTTGTGAAGAAGGAAGTTGTGCTCGGTGTCTTCTTCTGAGGTTTTCATGTTGATTCCTTCAGTGGTTCTTGGTGCAGCACCCCCACAGGTGAGGAGAACGGGCAGTTAGCTGAGTTTAATTCCTTTGACAAAGTGAAGTGTGAATGTGAACCACACCAACTAAAAATGTAAGCAAATCTAGTAATTTTTGTTACAGAATCGAACCGAGTTTACTGGATTATCCGGTGTGAATACAACCTGAATCTGATGTTTGTCACCACCTCCTGGTACAGAACAGGTCAGGTTTTTGTWTGGATGGAGATATTTGTACTCGCCATCATAAGTAAACGTGGAGCAATGCTGTTTTTGCACAATTACATTTTCAGAATAGGTATTGCAATGTTTATTTGTAATTTTGGAAAGTAATTCTGGTTACATGTATTGCTGTGATTTTAAACTAATATTTTGTTAAATGAGGCTGCCTAAGCAAATGACATGCGTGCAGTTCTACCTCAGTAATGCATTTTTTTTCTTTGCATGTCTCCATGATTAGGGTGCAAGCAAAGACTGGTCAGCATATTGCACAGCTGATGCACTGCCTGAAGCAGATAAAATGAAATTGGAAATCTTATGTGTGGATCAAGATGAGACTCAAGAGCTGCAGCCTTGGGAATGAGCTGGAGCTAAGAAGAGCTAATGTCATACCAAAATAACTGTTTCAAGTAATCTGACAATATCTGAGCACARGTTGGCAATTTTCTGTTATTAGCTGACATGAATTTCTACTTTCTTACAAGTTAGAAACATCTTTGTGTATCTCTAACAGTGCACAACTATACTGCAATCCATTCTCAACAAAACAACTCATACCTTCCTAGTGCCACCCTATTGCAGTGCAGATTGGATTCAACACGGGAATTTAACGTCATGTGACATAAAATAATATGTTGCAACACTGTTCACCTTTGTAGACACACTAGTTTTATATTTTTGCTTTTTGAGCAGACAAAAAATCATCAATGAACTCCCAAAGCACCATTTTTGCATCATATCTTTTTCTCTCTTTTTTTGCCTTCCAGTAAAATCTTTTATAAACTGCTGTTTTTGTGATGGAGAAAAAAAAGAGTATGGAATACAACCAGGTCTGGACTTTACCCTCCATCTCCAGCTACACTTTTGTAATACTTCAAACATTTACCACTTCAACAGTTTAAGAATGCTCAGTAGTGCAATGTATTGCAACTACTGTCAGCAGATAGATGTGCTTTATACTTTGAGAAGCAGCAAACAGAGAACAGTGGGGCTGTTCCTACATGAACTGTAAAGAGAGGTGGTGAAAAAAGTAGCTGTATTTTTCATGTTGAAGGTCCTTCTGGAYTTATGAATCTAAGGAATGAGAGGCAGGCAGCTCTACACTYATACACTCCCACCATTGTAAAGCTGTTTGTGGAGTTCACTAATGTGCATGCAATCTATGTAAATATGCTGTTCATTATTACATTTACAATTCCCAAAAAAGTTATGAGGACGTGTTAAATAAAAAAAATGCACTGATTTGTAAAAAGAAACATAATTGTTGTACAGGGGCAACAAAAACCTGTAAAAGTTAGTGTTGTGAATAAGAAACAACTTGAGAAATATTTTACACMCAATTAAGTTAATTGGCAACAGGTCATTAAGAGAACTGGGTATTAAAAGCATAAAAAACATTTTAAAATAGCTGAATCTCTCAAAAAGTAAAGATGGGCAGAGGTTTACCACTTTATAGACAGTACATTCAGTATACAGTTCAYTGTGCCACCCTCAAATGCAGGTTAAAGCTTTATCATGCAAAGAGGAAGAAATATGTAAACACCAACCAAAAACACTGCCATCTTCCATGGACCAAAGCTCATTTAAAGTAGACATAGCCTGCTTTTAAATCCTTCATTTTTACATTTAAATCATTCAKTTGGGGTCTTTATAAAGTGGAACTAAAATGAGTTGGTCAGCTAAATGTGAGTTTGCATGTATATCATAAAACTTTATTTTTTCTTTTACAAAGTCATGTCTTTATAACATTCAGAAATGTTTTCAGAAATGTTAGCTTGTTACATTATGTTAAAGCTAGCTGCCATGTCTTGTCCTGGCCACAACTCCCCGCTCGTCTCCACACTTTAGGCCGAGCCCCTCAGTGTCTCACCGCCCACTTTGTTGGCATTTTTCAAATTTGCCTTTGGGTGGAGTTATGCTTTCATGAGGGTGTGTGTGTGTTGTTAATTTAAAGCTCCACCCCTCTCCGGCTTCCAGACCGGTCCACTCCGGTTTGGGTCAGGGGGTAYGTTTTCTAGCTTACAGAAACATTTAATTTAAAATGTAGTTACACGTGGAGCCAGAGTCTGACCCAGAACCAGAGTCTGACCAGGAACCAGAGGAGAATGAARATGAGGAAATTGTAGTTGATAAGTCCAGATGTTATTTGGCAATTCCCCCACAGATAATTCAACACAATAGTTCATAAAATGCCATAGAAAATAGAAAAAAAAACTGAACAGGTTGAAAAACATGAACCAGGCAGAAGATAAAGATATCTCTGTACACAATGAAATGTATTTAACAGCYAAAAAAGTATATTTTTCAGGATATTTCCACTTTAAATTGAACCAAGGCAAATTTTCTTTTTTTGTCGTGACATTTTACATGTTTACTATGTTCTAATGTGAATTAAGTATTGGTTTAAGAGATGTGCAAATCATTGCATTTAGTTTTTATTTACATTCAACAAAATATCCCATTTTTAAAACCAGTCATTTAYACAACTTGTTTGTCAGAATACATTTGAAAAATGATGTTTGTTTCATGTCAGAGCATTCATATAMCATAAAGTACATCTTCACAGTAATGACTCACTTGTGAATAAGATCACAGCCGCACAGCTTTCCCTGACGTTTGTTGTCAATTTGAGTTAACACCAGACCCACATGCTGCATGATTTAACTGCAGTTTCTCATTTGACATTTAGATGCATTTTCTGTACAATTAGTTCATATTGTGTCTCTGAAAGGTAATTAAATGACAAAAAATGGAGCCAATATCTGGTGAAAATTAAACAAACAATAACAATAATGTGACATATTCCTGTGGGCCTTTTTTATCTATTAATTTTATTTGTATTTGTATAAAGTAGTTACTATTCTGTCAGTCAGCACTGACAGTACAGGCTGATTTCACATTTTATATAAAAGTTTCTGCACTTATAGTTTCAAAAATGGACAAAGTTAATTGTTTTTTTCCACACTCCAACATTTGCCGAGTAGAATGTGATATATGGAGGCTCTGAAACAGACAGCTTCAACATGCAGACAAGAAAATTAACAAGATTGATGGATTTCGGTGGTCTGTGAGGCAGCTGGCAGTTCTTTTTCATCTGCTGTGTGGGCCGACTTCCTCGGTCCAGTCAAAAATAATAAACCCTCTTAATTATACTGGAAACTCATTGTCTATCTGAAACTGAAATTTAATTTGATTAAGCAGACAACTGATCTAAAAYCTAAGATTTTATTATTATTTTTTTTTAATTTTATTGCCATTTTACAGCATCAGACTTTCTAAATGTAGCAGGACTGATGTTGTCGAGCTGTTCTGTTCTGGTTTGTTTTGTAAAATATTCTGAAATGATTTTGAGATGCTAAAAGGTTAAATTAACTGAGATTGTGCACGCTCAAGGCAAATCTGTTTTGTTGCTGTGCACCACAGGCCAAGATTTACCCTTTAAATCCAGGTAAATATTCTTTCATTCGTTCTTCTCTCTGCTCCTTTTGTTCTTTTTCTCTCATTATTTTCCCTTCAGCTGCTTCCACTAAGCATCCTATCACACCCACAATGCCCCGGCTCTTTTACTTCTCATCTATCCCCCCTACAGTTTTGCTTTCTTTTCACCTCAGCCTTGTTTTCTGCTCGTGTCTGTCTGTGTCCCTCTCTCATTCCATTGCTTCCCACATTTTCTTTTTCATCTGGCCCTTCATTTGTCTCCCCCACTTTATTCCCATCTCCCTCTGCATGCATGTGTTTTTATGCAAGCATGGCAGCTGGGCGCTTGTGGTTATTTTTCAGGCAGCGGCCCAGAAGATTGGACTGTCATAATCTATGGTCCTGAGTTATAAGTGTTTCTAACCCAAACCAGGGGACAGAACCATTTTTCCTTCCTTCATCCTCCCAACCTACTCCTCCTCCTCCTCCTCCCTCTTTTCTTCTTTCCTTTTCCCCCTCTGCCTTCATATCATCTCTTACTCTTCATTTTCTTMTTGTCATTATAGATAGCCATCCATTTTCTGCAGTGACCACAACTCAAACTCTTTCAGTTGATCCCTAAACAAAGATTCATGTCATCTGTTGACTTGGCTGTTATTGATAGGCTGCCATGGCTTGTCCTCAGAAAGTGAAAACTTTACCCCAATTTAATCATCACTCAGCGCCAAATGGAAAAGGTGGACATTAATATTTTTTTCTGTGTGTGTGTGTGTGTGTGTGTGTGTTTGTCAATCAAACTAATATTAAATAATTTAATGAACTAATTGACAAAAACATAAAAATGGCTAATATTTAGCTACTTTTAGAGATATTTTCTGTATCCAAATTCAGGGGCTGRGTCCTTCAAAGGATTGTTAATGGTAATTTTCACACTTGCTGGGTTTGTGAATCAAAATGGATCAACAGGAGACAACCTTTATGAGAATTAACACAGAATTTATTAAATATTACAYGTAAAACTCACCGAGCAACAGATTTGCAAATCTGGGAGACCACTAGACCGATATTTACCTTCGATCGTCCAGCAGCGTCTCGTCTAATTTCTGTGATTCTAACATTTTATAGTAAAGCCTTCTTCTTAT